ACCGTTTCAAAAGTACCGGTTTGGCACCGGTATCAGATAAAACCTAAACGATACCCATCCCTAGAGCTAACTGTGGCTTTTGACACTGTTTTGAAAAGAGACACTCCACGTTTACTGAGAAAAATACATAACCAGTCACAGTAAACATCAGACTGTGAAGGTCACTTGAGTACAATGAAGTCATTGACATGTTCAGGACACCGATGCATGAGTTTATTTGAGCTTTGTGAGATGGCTCATTGTTCTGCTGGAAGCAGCCATTAGAGAAATGACTGGATGTGCATTAAGTTGCTGCCGTGCAATTGGCTGATTTAATATTTGCATTAAAAAGCAGTTGAAGGAGTGTACCTAATAATGTGGTGAAAATGGTTTTCAAGCAAGTTTAACTTTAACAGTTTCACTTTTCTATATGTGGACTTCAAACATGTCTACTCATATCTGGCTTGTTGTGACTTTTCCTGATGCGGGAACGTATTAAAAGTAGATCCTTCTTCATGTCACTTGAAGCCAGACGCCGCCCAATCCTCACACATCCTCAGCTTCCACTCTGTCCGCCGAGGCTATTCCATCCCCATCTTCCCGACGAGGCGTTTTAGACACATTATCGCTCTTCACTGCCACTTATATGAGGCTTTCAAGATGCCAACTTTCAGTGTCACCTCCAAAAACGCAACACTAAGATTAATGGCCACTTCTCCTCTCCGCCCCAACAAGAAGACCTTCAGGGGGGAAAAATGGCAGCCAATCCCTTTATATTCCCAGGCGCTGAGCAAACATTAAACCCTTTTCAGACAACTTATCATTTAGTAGAATTAATTGGCAAAAATGCGGATGTCTCAAGCGCATCGACGTGGTTGCCCCGAGAAATGAGTGTTCTCTGTAGCAACTCTTTAAATATGCTCATCACCAGCCTGACTCACTCTCACACATGCAAAGAGTGTGACGGACTTCTCTGATGCCTTTTGGGGATTTTTTTGTCTTGAGTGTGTTTTAATGTGAGCGGACGCCCACGCTTGTCTGTCTGTGTGCGTCTGAGTTTGCCTGTGCATCTGTTGTTCCCACACAGACTCTTCGCTACACACATTAAGCAGCCCACAGAGTTTTGTCAATATCACCGGCTGGACTCACCAACAACGAGTCCAATCCTCTCTCCTTATCTGGTCGCTCCACACACACAATCACGCACGGCTTCATTGTGTGTAATGACACTCTAGTCCTATCTCCGTGATGGCTCTTAATGCGTCCTGACATGAGTGCAGCTCTTAAACAATCTACTTATTAATTCAAGTCACTGTGGGATGTTTACAGCAGCTTGTACAGTGAATCTTGGCAGCGTCACCTCAGGATTTAGGTTGACTGATCCTCAGCCCACCCGTGTGACTGAACGTGTAGAGGAGGTGTGGATGTTATGAACAACTCACTGGGTGACCCAACAAGGGCTGCTGATAAGCATTTTTCTCTCTGCCTTAAAAGATGGTTCCACTGAAGACAAAGTCAATTGAAAAGCATGAGTACACTTTCTCACTAATGGGTTTGACTAAAATGTTTGTGATTCAGTTGTGAAGTTATAATTATGGGCTAAGTATATTTGTCATCTGTGCCGAGTTTGATGTGCGTCGTTGTGCAAATATAACTGAAAATGAGCTCAAAGACAAGCCTGAAGTTTTGAGCACTACATTAAGGGGATCCAGAGATTCTGTTAAGCCGTAGAAAGCATGGTTTGGGGTCAACTCGCCCCCTTTTGCAATAGAGGTGGGAATCACCATACATCCCTCGATACGATATTATCACAATACTTAACGCACGATACGATATT